CCCCCCCCCTTCCATAAATCCGCCCATGGATAAATTGTTCTATAACCATTTTATCTGTTTAGGTTCTTGGCCCAGCCCACCCCAAAACCAAACGTTCACAGGACACTCTTGAGGAGCAGATGTACAAGCGTATCAAAGAGCAAAGGGAACGACAAGCAGCTGGAACAGCTTGAATCCATTCCCTGTAATCAATATTAATAATATTCCAATCAATCAGTTATTTTGAACTGCGATCCATTCTTGAGTTCCCTGCGTACAGAAGTGTATCCAAGTTCAGGTTATTTTCGAGGGACCACTTTTTAAAGAAATAGTGTAAAATCACTACCTAAGCCATTTGACAAGTGCATAAGTTGTTATATTGATGGGTTGCAAGCATTCCCAAGAGAGTTAAAAGACAAAAACATGGCGGCCATTGTGGTGCTGTTAACAATGAATGCTAATGAGAAATCTTTTGTTAAATGGCACCAACATGGCCGCGATGACGTAACGTGCAATCGAAGAATAAAGCATTGGAGCTCAATGTATGAAATATTTTCAGTTTAGGGATACTAAATTTATTAAATGAAATTTGAAATATTTTATTAACCTAAGGCAATTCTGAAATTTAGTTGACCTTGAATTTTATAAATTCGTAAGAATAAAAGATATGTGGTCTTTCACGCTTAAATATTCTAGGTTGGAAATATATATATGTATAATTTTTTTGCCAGGCAGTTCTTGTAGATTTATATAATCATAAACTGCTAGCAAATTTATACAACAATATATAATGCATATATATTAACATTACACTAATATTATTTTCATTGAATAAAAAATAAAGGACTATTTCTTGGTGTTGCAGGGAACCAGAGCCATGAAGACAATAAAACAATAGCTGAGAGCAATGAGTTTGGAGCTACACTCGATTGAAGAATCGTTATATATTTTCACTATGAGAATTCGCCCACAAAGCCCTAGGCACGAATGGAATAAGATATGGGGAAAAAATCGGCCCTCCGGCAACTGTTCCCAACTACCTCGTAATCAAGCGCCGGCTAATAGTTTGGGGTGCGGGGAAACAGGCAAGAGAATAGATAGTTCGGTGGAATCGAGTACCTACTCTCCCAAAGCTCAGAACTCTAGGCTTCAAGGTTGGAGAGATGCAATAACTTGGCAACCGATTCGGGTAGGGATATGAGCGCTGCTGCGCTTGGGGTATCTCCCTTCCAGTAATACCAATAAACATTTACTGAACAAGTTTTCACTTCCCCAGGCTAGGAGCGCTGAAGAAAATAGGAAACCGGAGAAAAGGTGTGCTGGAGAAGGGAAACAACCCTAAGCGAAGCAGCCCCGAAATACCCCGTCCAGGGACAGAGTAATGAAGGGTATTAGATAACCCTATCGAGGCGGCTTAGCAGGGGGAAATGGGAGGGAACCCCAACCATTACAACACACGCGATGGGTAACACACAACAGGCAGAACGAAGCCTGGGAGTGGATGAACAAACAATGAATGGTGAGATTAAAAAAAAACAAAAAAACGCAGCGCACATGTAGAACAATACAAGTTGTTCACCATAATCCATGCTTTCTTTGTTTTTGTTATTTTGTCCAATCCCAAGCTTCGTTCTACCAGTGGACACCGACCCCACGCGATCGCTGAACTTTTGCCAAATGATTAACGAGTATTTCGAGCGACCTCACACGCCGCTGAACTTTTGCCAAATACCTAACTAGCATTTTGAGCGACCTCACTCGCCGCTGAACTTTTGCCAAATGATTAACGAGTATTTCGAGCGACCTCACACGCCGCTGAACTTTCCAGATACCTAAACTAGCATTTTGAGCAACTTCACACGTCTTTGAACCTTTGAGAAATAACTAACGAGTGTTTTGAGCGACATAATACATCGCTCAACTTTACCAGACACCTAACTAGTATTTTAGATTTTTCGCTGGACTTCTAGATTATCCGGAGATCCGGTTTCCACCTGACCGATCCTGATTTTCTTTGTTGTAAAGCAAATAAAGCAAAGAGGGCTGGTCTAAACGTGGCTGGAGTCTTCAACTGATTTGGGAGACTGATCGCAAGCCATAAATTTTGGACAAATGAATATATTTTATATTACACAAAATAAACTACGAGACTCCTTAAGAATTTTTTATTAGACGGTTATTTCAATCATTTTCCGCAAAATCATGCACAAAAAAAAATTTTTTTTAATTGAAGCTTATAAATTGTTTTAAAAATGCTTGACATTCTAAAATTGATGTATGACGTAAATTTATTGTTATTGTTAAACTAACCCTGAAATGTTACTGTCACGATATCAAAAAGTCAAAAGTTTTAAAAGAGAAATCTGGGGCTTAGAATCTGGTGATTAATCGGATCCTCCATTCCATTCCTGAATTTTGCTCTAAAGGAATCCAAGATGGTGGGGAAAATGGCGCTAGGATTGATTTCTGTTCAGGTTAGTGATAAATACCGGAGTAATTCAGTCGTGTTTCAGATTAAATTGTCCATGGTTTGGTGATTGCGATTAATATAAGTCTCATAAACAATAGACCTCCTAATGATAACATTTGTTCTTAGTTCTAAATATTTTATGCACAATCAAGCCTATTGAAAACGGAACCTTGTTTGTTCGTCCAAGTATATAAGCTTATTGGGTTCCTTCAATGAGTTTGGGCTCCCAAAAACTTTCTTTTTAAACTCGTAAAGGACCTTATACAACTTCATCTATGGGTTCAGGGGCATCTAGCTGCTGCAATCTCTCGAGAAAGAGGTCTTTCAAGYCTTCCAGTCCTACAAAATCGGGAAGCTTTCGAAGTGTTTCATCTGATTATCATGACGAGAAAGTCGAGTTGGCCGAGGATACGAATATTTTCATGTCAAGCAACGACATCGAAAAACAACCCTTGCTTTCTTATGCTGAAGCTGCTGCACTGAGGCCTTCGAGTCCTGAAACAATGTGGGATATTGTAGAGAAAACTTGTACAGAAGACAGTGCGTGGAAGCTGAAGTCCGTTCAAAATAGAAGAGGATGGAAAACCATTCGCCTCTTCGTCTCTTCTACTTTTAGAGACTTTCATGCGGAAAGAGAAGTGTTAGTCAAAGAGGTGCGTAATAAGAAAAAAATGTTTTGAAAATATGTATACAGTTTCAAAAGTTTCTAGATGGATCTTCTTGCTTTTGTGAACTTTTTAAATTTGATAAATTAATATCATAAAATTTAAAATGTTTTTGAAATTATTAATTATTTATATATATATACAAATTATTAAACTGTTTCACACTTGTGTAATAAAAGCTCATGCTATATTATTTTTTCCTTCAATTTGTTTACATAACGTTTGAAAGATAGTAAGTTTGACCCTCCATACCTCTGTCTGTCCATCCATCCATCCGTCCGTCCGTCCGTCCGTCCGTCCGTCCGTCCGTCCGTCCATCCATCCATCCATCAATCTACCATCCATTATTCATTTATTCATTTCATGTCATTTTTGTCAGGTTTTTCCTGATCTGCGTCTCTGGTGTGAGGAGAGAAAGCTTCATCTTGTTGAGTGTGATCTTCGATGGGTAAGAAGTATTGCACAACATTGCTTTATCACTCTATGGAATTTTTGACAAGACCACCAATTTTACCGACATCAATAACAATTATTTACCACTGCTGTCATTGCTACACTCTGATTGATCAGGCAATATATGCACTGCTGTCTCAAAAGAAGTTGTCCAGTACTTTTACATATACCTGTATACACTGATTGATGGCAGTGTATACTGTATATAAATTTGTCTGATTTCCCTGCCACAATCATTGTCTTAATCAGTGCAGTAGATGGTGTTAAGCTTCTTTCTATGGCTTCTGCTATCCTAGGGTGTCCCTAAAGATTCGACAACAGAGGAAACAGTACGCATATGTCTAGGAGAGATAGATCGTTGTTACAAAGATAATGTTATGCCATACTTCTTGAATCTGACATGGTAATATACGAGATTACTATATGCATGCACTTTACACATATGATAGTAGCATTTCTAACTCATTTCTCTTAAGGTTGTGTGCACTTGTTGAAACCCCAAGACTAAAAAATTGAAGAAAATAAATTTGGAAATAATTGGCCAAAATCTTATTAGATAGGAAATAAATAAAAATAATAAATAAATGGGTTTTAGCTAGCAGTAGTATTTCTACAGAGTAGCTAGAACTTTTTTTCCACTGAAATTTCAATTGGAATCTAGAAGTTGAAAAGGAGAAAACCCATTGAATCCAGACAAAAACCCTTGAAGCAAAGGAGAGAACCAACAAGCAACTCTACTCTCATCCAACACCAAGACCAGAAATCGAACCTGGGTCAAATTGACAAGAGGCGAGCACTCTCCCACTATGCCCATCCATGCTTCACAAAGTGAGATTAATATTTCAATGGCTGTACAATGCTAATAGAAAAGAAGCAGCCAAATTAGAAATGTCATTCTGTTTTATTCCCTAGTGGTCGCTCAGGCTGGGTTCCAGATTTTGGAGACCTGACAGATAACCTTGCTGAACTTTATGGATGGGTGTACGGTCTGTCGTTAACTGAGATGGAGATAGTACATGGTGCATTTCGCAGATGTAATCCTAATGGTGAGAACTTTTTAAAAGAATCATAGGAAACAAACTTGTGTAATAACATTGTATTTGTCTGTTTTAGTCAGTTATTCTATTCATTCTACCATCATTTGTATCCATTCTCATCTCATTTATCCCGTCTATACATCCCATTGATCTCAACTATAAATGCAAGTCATCTTTTATCCTATGCTTATGTTAGTTCCCATTCTATCACCCCCCATTGGTTCTTCTATCCATTCTTTTCACTCATCCAACTCATTTATCAGTACTTTGGACATGCTTCAAGTGTAGCTTTCTCCTAAATGACCAAACTATTCTCGACCCATTTCAACCTGTGAATCCATCCATCCCATTCTTTCCCATCCCATCCAAAACCATCCCATCCCATCCCATCCATCCATCCATCCATCCCATCCATCTCATCCCATTCCATCCCATCCATCCATCCATCCCA